AGTCTCTGTATTACTGTATATTGTGGTGTACAAAAAAGGTCATGCGTATTTTTGGCGCTCTGCCTCTAGAAATGTGCATTTGGCAAGGGCGGTTGAGCAGATCCGTGCTGGGGAGGCTCCCGGTGTGCCTCCTCTAGTTACTGGCATTATCCAGAGCCCGCGAACGGCAGGCAGACGGAAGTGCCTGGAGAAGTCACGGCGGTAAGAATTTCCCGGTTTCCCTAGTAACGCTGTCTGACAGAGAATGTAGTTCCTAGCCTTGACTCCTTTGTATTAATTCCTGAATATAAATGCTGCTTTTCACCTCTTACCCCCAAGAGTCAGGATTTCCCAAGCAAAGTAGCAGTGCAAACTGAATTGGCACACACTAGTCCAAAACCCTGCCCATGGAAGCCAAGGGGTAAAAAGAGAAGATAATGAATTTAAATTATTTAAACACAGTTGTGACTAATATTTACATGTTGACGTGCAGCTGAGTGCACTTTATGAGAGACTGTATGATGGATTAATGCAATACCTTTGACAAGGACTTCGTGTGAAGGTAGGGTGTGCTCATGTTCCTTCTCAAACACCATCTCGTAAGGGTTGTTTGAAAAGACTGCGTAATGCAATGTTTTGTGTCTGCGGAAATCAGAGCAATAATCTTTCATCTTTTGGAAAATAACTTCAGAAAACTCAAGGCCAGGCACTGCAGTCTGAATCAGAAATGTGCAGTCTTTTTGTGAATACATTTTGTAAATACGACCTTGAAGATTATGTATTATATATATGACTTTTGTAGGTCACTAACTCATTTTTGCAGAGTTTGTGAAGCTAAATATTTAACAAAGTTGATTTCTGTAAACTCAGTGTAGTTGAGGTCCAAATAGTTCGGGGTTTTTTTTTAATTAAATTTAATGACTTTGGGTGACTTCGGCCCACATATTTCTTTCCTTTGGTCTTCAACACTTCATTTATTTTTATTCTTTAACATAGAGCTTTTTATAAAAGACCAGTTGTTCAATGCGTTCTCCGCCCCTGAGCGCTTTGTTGCTCTTCTTCGTCCACATGGCAGTTTGACAGAAGGCTCTGCGCTGGGAGATGGGGTGACTTGTCACAGGGGTCGTGGCTTTCTGCAAGATGTTGCCTTTTCAGTTGATCGTGTCTTTTTTTTGGTCGACTTTAATGAACTCTGAATGTTCTTCAAAAAAGTTTGTCTGTTGCAAAATGTATGTTGTTACGCGACATCCAGAAATTTAAGGATATTAAGCCACATTTTAACCAAATGTCTGCACCTCGCTGGATTGTTCCCATAGTGGTGAATGTGCTTCCTAAGCAGGTCTCACTCGTGTCGGTATTTAAGTCTGGTTACAAACTTGTTATTTGCCGATAGGGTCCCTCCCCCCCTCCCGTTTTGGTTCCCTGAAGTGACATTTCCTTTGCAGTTTTTCCAGTTTCAGGCAGTTACAGCCAAACCCCTGAACTCCCATAAGGAATGACCCAGAAGTGTCGAAGGTGTGTGGTGCTTTTGTTCCGTTGTTCCCTGTGTCATGGAAAACTGGCGTCTCCCAGTGAGTAGAAAAAAAACCCAAGTGTGTTCTCAATTGCTGCTGCTTGGTGTGCGAGCAAGAGGGGGTGTTATTCAGCATACTCAGCCATCTTCCCTTGTAACAGGAATAACCTTAACTAGAAATCCTCTCCAAAAGTTCATCCTTCGCAGCCAGCCAGTCCTGGGCCCGGGGGAATGTAGATTCAACCCATCTACGCGTGCAACCCTGTCTCTGCAATTGCTGCTGAGTATCTAGGCCAGGGGAGAGCTTTTATTTGAAACCTGCAGTCCAATTCGTGTCTGTTTTTACAGCAAAACTTTTAAAAGCCTGAGGAACTTCTATCATCTGTTGATTTGCTGAGGAAGTGCTGCCTGCTGAAGGCAACAAGCCCTTGCTTTTTCTATGGAATCAGAGTAGAACCATTTTCACAGTTTGTAGTTGTTCATTACGTTGATGGAAACTACGCACCCTGACTGCTTTCGTTAGGTGAGCTCCTGGACGACGCAGTGCTCCATCCATGGTGCCCTCCGAGCTGTTTTACGTGAGTGAGTCTGTGCGTCTGTGTGTAACTGGTACCTGACTGATGTTGTAAAGGTTCATCGTTTTCTCATCCGTGTTTAGAATGTTGGAGCTTTCCAGTACCTACTTTTTTGCTGAATCCAAAGAGTTTTACTTTACACTTGATTAGGGGAGGAGGGGGTGTTTGTAAAATGCATTGCTGACACCTTTCTTGGCAGCACTGATCCTAAACCCTACACCTAGTAGAAAATCTTACCTCCTGCAGGAAGTAAAGCAGACCTTGCAGTCTGCTGCCGTTGAACATCCGCACCGATTCCCGTTGGTGCTGCAGCAGCAGGTTTTTCACAACATTGTACAGCGCAGCCTCTGCGACCCCGTTCAGGGAACAAGCAGCTGCCTCTCACCCGCTGTGTACGTCTCGCTGCGCGTCACTGTCGCTCTTTCGACCACAGAACCCGGGGTTTTTATAAAAGTCACGTGGAGGTTTTTTTTCCCCCCAATCTTGGCTTAAAATACTGCTTTTAAAAGTTAGAAAATCAGGACCATTTTTCAGTCGTAAGACAAAACGACGTGAATGTTGTACCAATCAGCAGACATTTTATTTCAGAATTTATGCGCAGCCTACCCGATGGCAGTGATACAGCGAGTATGAAACCGTGGAATTCTGAGAGCAATATCTTAAAAAATTCTCAGGAGAAGGCATACAGTATTGAGAACTGCATTTACATTTAGTTTACAGTCTAAGTATTGCTTGAAATATCTGTATCTTTATTTTGCAAACCAGAAGAATCATGGGGACTGATTTATAAAAGGGTTGGTTGTAAGCTATTACTGCTCTTCTGATTTTTGTGTTTGGATGTTAATAATAGTGTAAATAAAGGTTTCTATTTAAAATCAGAACTCGGTGCCAGGGTGCAGCGGCTGTCCAATACTTTAAGGCTGACAAACGTGTTCTGGAAAGGGCAGAGAACACCCGGTGCTGCGGCTGAGGAAACCTGTGCGCAGCAGATGGTGAGATGTTTCCCCGTGGGCCGTGGGCCCTAAGGGAGTAACGACCGAGACCTCCCACCACCGACCCCCTCTCAGCAGCTGAAGTGGCACTGCCACCGGCGTTTGTTGTCTTGGACTTCAGTAGCAGTCAGGACGGAGAAGCGCCTTTCCCATAGCTTGGCAACACCCTCCCTGCCACAAACTAACAGGTGCTTCTCCCGTCCCTGCGACTGTGTGGGAGGGGACTGGGATGGTCCCACCGGAGCACGTGCAGTGGCCAGGCAGGGTGCCGAGAGCCGCACCCTCGTCCTGTCACAGACTACAGGCCGAACACAACCGGTAAGTGCAAGTTGTTCTAGTCTAAGCTGGTGTTCTTCCTGCGTACTCCCTGGGAGTGCAGCCAACGCTCTTCTGTGGAAAGCAGCGAGAATGTGGTTCTGGTGGTGGGTTTAAATTCAGTATTTTTTACTTACTGGTATTGATCCAGGATCTCTCCACCTAGCAGCTGTTTCTGATAATCCATGCGGTCTGTAACAGGTTATAAACAAATCCTGTGGCTTGATTAAGACAGACAATCAGATGTTACCTCCATAATCAAAAAAGCAACTTGCAAGAAACTTGGAATATATTTGACTTAGGTGAGACAAACACAAGCCTAGCTTCACTGTATAGCACGCACGATCAAAGGCCCCGCGGCCACTTTCTGAGCATTTTTTTACCCCCTCCATTCCCAAATTCAAGTATATTCTTGAGCATGGGGCTGTGGGACCAGAGATCTATGTCCCTTGTGAAGTAATTCCACCTGAATGCCCGCAAGTGCCAAGCCAGGCAGGGCACGGCAGTCACTCCCGTGGTTACGTTTGGGCTGTTTTGAAGCAGAGCATCTCTGCAGCGAAGGCCGCAGCTGGTCCAGGCTGCCACGCCAGCTCCTGCTGCCAGTTACCAGGAAAACGCGTCACCACCGGCGCCTGTACCGCAGCCAATTTACTAACGTCTTATGGAAGTGCTCTAACAGCCTCTGCCCACTCTGCTTCCTTACTCACAGGATGGCCTTTCCCTTTAGAGGCCTTCAGCTGCCGCTCAGCACATCATCCTTGTGGTAGGCCGAACTGTGCCTAGACCATTCCCTCCTGGCTCTAAGTATGGAACGTCTTGGAGCTGCCGCCCTAAAATCATTGCCAGAGTTACACTACGCAGCAACTGCTGCTCTCTCCAAGGAACTGGTTTGGTTCTGAACGTACAGTATAATATTGCCACAAAAATCTTCGTACAAATCTGATTTCATTAAAATTGAAGATGTACATTTACTGACATCTTTTGGTACTTTTAAAAATGGATAAATTCCGAAACTTACTATGCACCATTAAGCAACATCTTGAGAACTGGTGTGTGGGCATTCCACTCTTTATTAACAAAATTCTTCACAACCTGAAGGGATTTCTTTTCAAACAGTATATTGATCCATATTTACACAAGCCCTCCAGAAACCTGGCGTCCTGTTAGTCAACATTTTCTCTGGTTTTCCTGGAGGTTCAATAGGATGGACAAGGAGACGTGGACCTAGAACGTATCCTCGGGGGAAATGCGGGAAGCATCGCTGTCTTGAGAGTATTCAGTGCTGCTCACTTCACTTCCTGAATCTCTCAGACGTCCTTTTGCACCGTTACCTTTACCCCAGTTAGAAGCAAAAGGGTCCATGTTTTCCAGCTCTTGCTTTAGAGTTATAACTTGGAGTTTTTCCCACGCCAGCCGAAGGCCGAGCTGAACTGAAAGCCGTGCTCGGTTTACTTCCCACGCCTCAATCCTGGGGGCACCCGCGCTTCCTCTTCCGTCAGCTCCTGGGGCGCTGTTAGTGGTGTCGCCTTGAAGTACAATGCCTTGTGAAGCAGGTGAGGTACAGTCCCAAGCAAAAAGCAGGTACAATAGTGGATTTCAGAGACCTGTATTTCTGACAGCACTCCCGTCATCTCACTGTATCTACTGAATTCACTCACCAGGACAAACATTCTATCTACTTCAGCCTCAGAGTCTATCCCGTCCTCCAGGCCGACACGGTCATTCTTTCTGGAGTCACACACGTTTGCATTTTGTCTGTACATGGATTCAAGTTCTGGCCAGTTCGTGTCCTCGTGGAGGTGCAGCGCCGGGGGAGGTTAGCCCTCCCAGCCTTCCCACAGCTGTCCCCTTCAGAGTAAAACAAACACGATTTAGTGCGTAACCTTCTGGTAGGAGGTACTTACAAATGCGTTTGAGTGGTTCCATGCAGGGAAAAACCCACTGCGGCCCACCTCTAAAAATACAGCTTGGAAACAACCCAACTGTACTCGAAACCTCTGCCGCCACAAAACTTAGAGCTCATTAATTCCAGCTTCGTTTTGGTTGAAAAGCCAGCCCAGTATTAGCACTAAACGAGCCAGTGCTTCCGGGGGAGCTGCGAAGGCTGTGGCTCCACAGGATCTGAGCACGGCCTGGGGGTATTAACGAGCTCAACCCTCTCCTCGAGGGGGGATGCAGAGACAGTATGGGCATGGCAAAGGACTCCTCATCTTGCTACCTTTCCGTGTCACCTGTGGGCTCTGGCAGGTTAAGTATCTTCAAGCTTTAAAGGGCAGTAAAGTGAGCAAAAACGAATCTTAGATTTTTAGTCTGATTTCAGAATAAAACACATTTTTCTGAAAATCAGACTAAAAAAACGCACAGACCTGTCTTGTAGTCTGCTTTCTGTCCTCACAGGCTTTTCTGGCTGACACCACGTCAGGCTGCAGTTGGGTAAATAGCAAGAAAGTACACGCTACTCTCTCTACTCTGAGAAATTGCCATCAGTTTTGTTCTTTGTGGCTGGTGGGAGACCAGCAGGTAGCTGCTACAAGTTCAAATTTAGACAAAACCCACAGAAGGTAGCTAATTTTTCATGGAGTTAACCATAACTGGTTTCTTCAGCTGAGCATCCACACTTGCTCAGGTCTGAAAGTGCCCCAACCTTAGTGCTCCTAGGTTCCCAGAAAACGGGTTCCCAGAGGTCTGGGCAGCACTGGTTGCAATGGTGGCAGCAGCATGTTTCTTGCACAATTGAGAGGGATTCCCACGTCAGCATTCCACGAGAACGGACACATGGTGACAGAGGTGCTGCGTGCAAGAAGAGGAGTGAAGGAAAGGGAAGGTGAGCATGAGCTTAATGCTTTTTGTGAACTGCTCCCAACTCACAGTGACTTGGCAGATGATGGTCTCCTCACATCTGGCCACTTTCGACGCTGAAACTGCCTAGTTTTCAAGCAGCAAAAGGAGAAAAAGGTTAGCCATCACCAAGAAAACCACCAGCACCACAGGCTGAAAGACCAGGAGGAAGAGTTGAGCCTGAATTTTGACTGCAAAGATAAGAACATGCTCTAACAGTGAAAGAGCAAGCGCTCCAGTGTTTCAAGGGGATTGGAATGGAAAGGTCCGATTCCAGACTCCCAGTCCCACGCTCCCTCAGCACGAAGGCTGTGCTTCAGAATAGGAATTTAACTTTTAAAAAATGTACCTGTACTGCTCGTAGCTTCCATCTTTAAGTCCTAGATGAGGAAAAATCGACAGCGTTACTAACCAGTGCCAGCAGCAGAGTGTGGTGTCGGCTAAGGCAGCGTTTTAAGAAAGACCCGAGAGTACCAACAGGTTAACGTGCATCGCCGTGACAATTACTTCCACGCACGCTCATGGGAGCTGTTATTTTCCTATTTGATCCTTTATTCTAGGTAACACAGGATGCAAATCGGGACAGCTACCGCCAAAACGTTTCTGTAAGTGTCCTTCAGTGCTGTACTGAGATGCCAAAAGCTCCACGTTTCAAGATGTAGAAGGTCTATGTGGTGCACCTACTAAATAAGACTCCAGATAATATTTTGGGATCTGGGGGACTCAGATAACAGCAGTTTTGGGGTGGGGGTCTTGAAGGGCTAAAGGCTATGATTTTTTTAAAATAGCATTTCTTATAATTGTGCTAAAGGGTGTAAGAAATGCAATGTAAAAAGAAGAAATACAAGTACCTGGACGTTTTGGTTTGCTGTCATCATTAAACACTGTCAAAAAAATTAACCAACCAACCACCCAAAAAAATAGAAAAACCCACAAGCAATATAAAAAACCCCACCAAATCCACTGAATAGACCCAGAGAAAATCTAAGGGGTAGGAAAGGATGCAACTAACCCAGAACCAGAGCAAAGGCCCACTTTCATTTTTGGACTTTAAACCCAGTTCACAGCCGTGGTAGCACAGCGCAGCCCCCCTCAGATGGGCTGTTCTTCCACAGCTGCCCGGCAGCGAGGGGTAGGGCAGACCCAAGCTGAAGCACCAGCCTCCTTCTTGCAGGTAAAGGGCCTTTAAGCCAGTTCACCACAGGGCTGCATGGCCACACGGTAACGGGCCTTGCTAAAAACCTTCAGCTGGAACTGCTGACCGTTAGCCCGGAGAGGTAGCACAGTCTCCCTCCTCGGAGGTTTTCAGGGTGGGGTGAGCAAAGCCCTGAGTAGCCTGGTCTGGCCTCACAGCTGACCATGGCCGAGCAGAAGTTTGGACTAGACAAGCCCCCCAGAAGTCCCTTCCAGAGGCCACTATCCAGAGTGTCTGAACGTGGAAGTGGCTATTAGGATTTTTGTTCTCTCTTTCATCAATTTTGTTCCTTCCCCACCTCCCTCCCCCATCTCAGCAACGCTCCTCACTGTACTGCTGCGGTATCATTCCTCTTTTCGGAAACGTTGCACGAATAAAGCCAATAGACCACGTGGAGCAGCAGGGCCCCACCGCCATAAATAACACCACAGCCCTTGTGACTGATCCCAGTTTCACGATGGTAACCAAGAGCCCCGTGTCCTTTGGGAGTCTGAGTGGGATGGGAGAGGCACTTACCCAGATCCATGTTCCTAGTTCTTGGATTGCACTGTTTATACCCTTTGCAGCTCCTCAGTTCCATGAGCTGGACATGCAGTTGATTGAGAACGTCTCTATCCAGCGTATTCACGGCATTAATGAGCTGCAATAAACAGGGTGGCGTTAGTAACTGCAGCTCTGGGGTTCGGTGACTTTCCCGTGTGGAATACCCGTGGTTCATGTGCCTCCAATGATTCAGGCCTTAGCTACGTCCTGCAGCACTACCATAGTGCGACACGGATCATGGATGTATTTCTAGAGCTGTTCAATGATCAAGTACCTGATACGGATCCGTGTTGAGATCAAAGTACTCCAAAAATCCAGTAGCAAATTCACAGAACAGGAAGTTGTGGGTCTCGTTGATTGTCCTCAGGCACCAGTAGGTGTTGTTGTTGGCACTAGTACAGGCACAGAAAGGGCCCACTGCGGGTGGGAGAGGTACAGAGACTTAGCGACAGGCTGTGGCTGTAACCACTGTCGGTCGCATTTGGCTTATGGGGTCGCTGCCCAAGTTCTGAGCCCGAAAGCAGAGACCTTCCAGCATCAGCCTGGCCTACGGAGCCCCAGCCCACACCCACGGCTAACTCAAGGAACATCATGGCTCGCTGCTTTCCCCGCCCTCTGTGCTTGGGAAACGTTCCAGTGGTGGGATCCTCCACACGGCTGTACTGCACACACGCCTGGGGCTGGTTATCTGCAGGTGGCTCTGGTTTCAAGCCCCTTGCCCTTTGTGCAGAGACAGTGCCAAGGCTGGAACAGACCAGCACCAGGAAGGCTGCGTGTTGGCTACAGAACGCACGACACCAACTACCAGCCCCCAGCACCCGCGCCCACCCGCTCCCGAGGTTAAAGCATCCTCACGTGTCCAGAGGGGAGCAGTTTGCCAGTGCTGGTTGTCGTGGGTGAAGCAGGTCAGCCCAGGCATGCTGCACGTGTCGTTGTTTTTTATCCTCTTCAGCAGTTTGCGCAGTTTCTTCTTTCGCCGTTGCTCTCTGAGCAGCCACAGCCTGTCCTTCTCCTGTAGGGCTTTCCTGCACACAGGGAACAGTAGGGTCATGCAGACTCTGTTAGACCCAAACACACCTATAAAAAATGAAGCCGCTAATAAAATGGGCTGCTTTGAGGGGAAGCAATAACCAGCACTTTTTAATTCAATGGTTTCGCTTCCCAATGTCTCTGGCTATAACTCTTTGCAATTCAACGTAAGGCAGGCGGGCTTGCCTGAGCTGTGACGTGACACTGCCCACACCAGGAACCCTGCCTCGAGTTTACGAGCATTTCACCATGGGCTAGGTTCCGTGCTCATTCTTGGGAGTACAGGCTACATGAAACACTGCTGCTCTTGCTGAGCTTGGAACTGGTGTGCAGCAACAAAACATTAACGTCGCTGCATTCCCTCTTTCAAAGAACAGGCCTTCACTTACTTGAAAGGATGAAGACTCGATCCCTTGTGCCTCAGTTTGCTTTTGTGCTTTGAATGGTAACTGGAAAATAAAACCAGCATCGCTGATGAACAACAGAGACAATTGCTCATTTGTACCACACTTCTGTACCCGGTCTGAAGCAGATCTAATCCAGTGTCACTTCTCCCGTCACCGTGACGAACAGAAGCACCTTGCTAAGCTCAGGCACTCCTGAGCCTGGTTGTGCCTCTCCCTTTCCGTAGCTCATCTTGTGCAGTGACACCTGGTGCTGTCAGACTGCAGCGCAGTATCTGGCCACAGGTCATTCCAGCTACAGTGTTCCATTTTGGATGGCATTGGTGCTTGTTTCCCTACTCGGGGCAGACACGAGCAACACCCTTACAGTTCAAGCACAACATCTCTTCAGTATTCACGACTGCTCAGACGGTAAGGGGACAAGCATATCCCCCCTTTGTGGCGCTCTCCTTCCCAATGGAAGAATTTAAATACCGGTTGTACTGTGTAGGGTGGGTCTGTCTCCACTGTTACTAGCTGGGAGTTCCAGAAACACTTCAACAAGATGTATAGGACCGGCCCAGCAACAGCAGTGTCTGAGCACAGGCTGGGCCAGGGCGGGTGTACACAGGCACACGCATCCTAGCTGGGCAGCTCTACCGGTCTGGCTCTGTCTCCAGAAATGTGTAAGATTTTGCAGACATTTCCTTTCTGTGCAGTTTGCAAAGTTAAAAAGACAAACCAGCCTTCATCAATGGCAATGTTTTCTAAGTGACCAAGTTCATCATGCCTACAGAAATCAGCAACGACAAACCAAGTTCAATCAAAGTTCATTTCTAAGCAGTACCTCAGAATTCAGTTAGTTGTCAGACTACAATTCATGGAATCACAGAATGGTTTGGTTTGGAAGGGATCTTAAAGATCATCCAGTTCCAACCCCCCTGCCATGGCCAGGGACACCTTCCACTAGACCAGGTTGCTCAAAGCCTCATCCAGCCTGGCCTTGGACACTTCCAGGGATGGGGCATCCACAGCTTCTCTGGGCAACCTGTCCCAGTGCCTCCCCACCCTCTCCATGAAGAATTTCTTCCTGATATCCAATCTAAACCTCCCCACTTTCAATTTAAATTCCCTTCAAAAGAAAACTTTTAAATTATTAGTGCTACTGGGAGTTTGAATGACATTAATCCTTACAGCAAATTAACAAAAATAAGATTATTAAAGAACTAAGTATCTTCAGTCAATTTTTTCATCTTGCACAGCCCCTGGGGACTTCATTAACCAATCCTAAATGCCATTTCCTAATTCAGTGCAACTCTGCAAAGACTTACACATCTCTAACTTATCTGAGTAACTTCACTGGTTTCAGTGGATCATTCAGCATCATAACGCTATGCACAACTCAAGTGCTTCCTAGTCGGGCCTGAAAAATGCAACACTCTTCACATCTCCTACGAAACATTCATTATAAAACCTTCATCTTGGCAGCTTGTATTAAACTCAGTTGTCAATGGCAGTTCTGAAAGCAGCAGATTATAAGACAATATAAACTTTCTGGGGATTTGTCATTTAGAATTGGACCGATTTCATGCTTTTTGCCATGGGTTCCACATGTGGGTCAGCACAACCCACGACATGGATGTTCTCCTTATTTTCGTGGTCAGTCGCTGAAGCTACGCTGCAGCATCCACACGGGCCACAAGGCCCACGCACCTCATGTCTGTGAACTGGGGGACGTTGCACCCCAAGGATTTAAGGGTTGTGCTCAAGACCTCACCCCGTTACCAGCGAGACAGAGAGGCACCATCCACACCCTCTCGCAGAGGCTACTTCACGAAAGCTGCTTCAGCCACAGAGAACAGCAGGGCTGCTTTGTGGGTTTGCATCCATTTCACTATGGCTCTTTCTGTGGCACTCGTGCTGCTGCTGCCACTGTGGCTCCTGCACTCCCGGTGACATCAGGCTCACAGCAGCCTCGAGATCGCTCTGGGATCACTGATCAGCACCAGTTGCTCCTGGCTCCTCTCTGAACAGCTTCCCCAGGGCAAATTCCGTTTGAGTAAGTGTTCAGTTGTGCAAGGTTTTTCTACTGTGCCTATTTGCAGAGCGAGAGCTTGCTCGCTCCCCTTCTCCCCAGGGCTGATCCTACAGCCATTCTGCAAACATCTGGCTGTGTGAGAAACCAACTACGGCTGAGAAGAACGGGAGTGAAGCTAGGCTGGGGTCCCACCAACCTTAGCGCATAATCGCTATTTTGGTATTGCATATTGCACATATTGCATATGCATATTGCATAAAATTCACAGGTCACCTGCAGGGGGGGGAAAAAGGGGTCTTGTGCACTAGGTCAGTGGTGGTTACAAAACCACAGTTACTCTGCACCAGCTGTTACGTTCCTGCAAAACACTGCAGTGAGGAATCCCATCTGATCACACATCCAGCCTTGCAAAAGCTGAGTGGAACAAAATTACCCCAGCTCCCCACCCCACTGTTGCGCAGGCCTCTCCTTAGAACGGATCTGTGAACGCTGCCCCGTAGTGACAACTTGCCCTCGTGCAAAGCAAGCGTTCAGACAAAACCTGCAGCTTAAAATGTTCCCCTCTGGTATCCGACAGCAGCATCTTCAGCACGAGAGCGGAACTAACAGGTTTCTAAGGCGTGTTACACGTCCCGTTACATCATCACCCCCTGACGCAGAGGCACCTCGCCTCCTGCCTGGCAGAAGCTGGGCATAATTAGGCAGCTGCTTAACGAAACACATCCTCATCTCTCCCGGGAAGACACAAGTCAGCTGGCACACTACAAATCTCTGCCCTGAAGTACTCGAGAAATACCTTAGTTTGTTACAGTCGCACTCTTCAGGTCGCTTCTTCTTCAGGTGACCCCGCACCTCCCTCAGGTTTTTTATTTTATTTTGCAAAGTTTCAATCTAAAAAAAGCAAAGATACAGGTTAATAAAATACAGCAGGCGTAGTCTTACTGTAACCTTCTCAAGCCCATCCTATGGTCACCAAATGCTTCCTTCTCACCACCTCCCCTGACGAGCATCGTCAGACTATCTCCCGTTCCAAACGGCAGCTGGGGCAGGAGCAGCCCTCCCGGAGCCGCTCGCCTGCTTTGATTGCGAGTGTGGAAGCAGGAGGTGGCCTGGAGGGCACGCAGCCTCCGGGGACAACCACTCCGGGTTCCACTGCGATTCTCCTCTCGTGCCCTGCAGCACATCTGCGAGGGGAGAACGGTTGCTCAATGGAGAATGAAGCCCTTACATTTCAGCCTGCTGTGAACCCGAGAAGGGGATGGGGAGGGAGCACTCTGTCCCCTCCTCAGAGCTTCTGAAAAAGCAAAGCAGCAAGGCTCCTCGCCCCGCATGGCAGTCGAGCAGCGTCTGGCCACGTGGGATATGGATCAGCTGCTAATTGTGCCGCCCACGGGGTTCATTTTTAACTGTTTTTCTCAGAAAGTGAAACACCTGCTTTTGTGCAGTCCAGCTCCCACAGCGTGGCCCATTTCCACCCAGGAGGGGATTACAGGCTGCTACCTCGGCTCTTCACACCGCAGAGAAATGGGAGTGATCCAGTGTGAGCAGAGTCACTGCAAAGCTGCCCCCGGACACCAGTGACGGCAGCTCCCGGGGAAGCAGACGGCTGCTGAGGCACAGCCAGGGCAGTGTTCAAGGAAGAGACACAAAGAATCCATCCCCATAACACTAACACGAGCACTCGTTTGCTTTGGCACTCCATACAGCCTACATTGCCTGAAGAAAAGAGTGTGGCGATCCTGAAATTGCCCTTTTTTCAGACCCAGCAGAGCTACGAAGTTTTTTGGTGTCTAACTGCCTTGCTCCGGCCAACCTGTGCTGTAAAAAGGAGCCAGCAAGTTCTTACACAGGACTGTGCTGGGAATTCATGTAACTTGGTAAGACCTCACAGGAGCTGCTCTCTTTGTGCTGCTCTCTGTTCGTTAGCTGGCCCCGAGAAGTCTGCCTCTTCCACACACAACACACGTGAGGGCTTTCAGCTTATGCCCTTCAATACTGCTGACAAAGATGTCAGATTAAGTTTTATAGGCAAGTTTCATACAGCAAGTTGTCTCCGGGTTCTTGATATGCACAAGCCTAAGGAAAACGAATTCCATGCCAAAGCACAAGGGTCGAACACGGGCATGCAAGTTACATACATCCAGAAGCACAGAAGCTATTGAAGCTCACTTTTCCTTAGGCTTATGTTTGACAGTTGAAGGCCTCTTCCTGAGAAGTACATTGGGGAGCAGGGCTATTAAGATGTGAAAAAGATCCAGATGAAAATTTTCCCAGGATAAAGACACTTAGAAGTCTCCCATTTATCTCATAAGGGTTCTGACATTCCTCAGCTGTCCCTTCAGCTGCTGTTCTCTGCTCACCACCTCATCTTCACACTTGTAGTAACTTAACTAACTCTGAAATCAGCCAGCAAGTTCAAAAGGTTCCAGGGAGGCACAGAGAAGCCCAGAGGCAGACAGACACACATGCAGTCAGCAGGATCCCATCCGCCCCCAGAAAACCACGCTCGGAGCACACACCGACAATGCGTGACCGATGCCAGCACTGACCTCGTGGTCAATATGGAGTTTATGGTCCTTCCAAGCTTGCAGTGACCTGTACAGATCGGTGTCACACTGAACCGTATCGTTCTCCAGGATGTAGCACCTTGGCACGGAAAAGCAAACAACGGTTATTAGAGGGGATGCGGGCGAACAGCAGTGCAAACAGCTGGGCTTAATAACACAGCTCCAGGACAGATGAGAAGCCAGATTGGAAATGACATGCAGAATTCAAAAAAGCAATGCTCATTCAAGAGAAGAGGAATGTGCTATGAGTCAGGACAGAAGTTTGGGGTTGAGTTGCCATGGCGATTTTGCAGAAGTAGAAGAATTCAAGGAGAATATTCCTACCAAGCAGAACCTGTTGACTGCTTAATGTAAATTGTGCTGCAGAGTTCTTGCTTATTCATTAGGCTGTCTACATAAATAATCTCCACTAACTAGCAAGTACCAAAAGCATTACTCAGAAGCAATTTCCCAATGCATAATTAAGGGATGCAGGGGTAGAGGCAAGGATAAAACACTTCTTTGGAAGATGTATTATTATGCAAAAATCACCCCCAAAATCAAAGACATTTTGCTGCTTTCTACAAAAGGGATAAGATTTTTCAAAGATCACTCTCTGACTTCAGAGGCAAAATACCCTCTGACAATTTCAAGTCCTTACATTTAACTAAGGTCTATCACAATCCAGGCTTTAAAATCCTTTCAAAAATGAACAAACGAAACACCTGACGGATTTACCCGAGAAGTTCATTAGGGGCCAACAAGTACCGTGTGGTCATTTTTGATTCTTTGGTTAAATTAAAGCTGAGTATTTTCAAGACTCCTTCATTTTCTTTAAGCAACCTCATACGTGTTGTCCCACTGCCTTCTCTCCTGAAAGTGTTCCGGGGGAACACTCCCTGTGAATTACGCACAACCTTCCTGACAGTTCCTTGCGTGGACTGGGGATTCACCCAGGAAGGCAGCAAAAGTCAATTTAACTTGTTCCAGAGGAAAAGCACAAATGGGCTCCGAAAATTCACCAGAGCTAGGGTAAGAGTTCTTGGATGTCATCCTAAGCCATGCTTCCTCGTGTTAGCGAGTCTCTAGCCCTGTAGATGGAAGTCAGAACATTTGAACAGCAGCTCACTGGCTCACGCGTGTTTACGTGAGCTAGTCATTAAACAACTTACTGCATGTAATTATAGAATCACAGAATGGTTTGGGTTGGAAGTGACCTTAAAGACCATCCAGTTCCAACCCCCCTGCCATGGGCAGGGACACCTTCCACTAGACCAGGTTGCTCCAAGCCTCATCCAGCCTGGCCTTGGACACTTCCAGGGATGGGGCATCCACAGCTTCTCTGGGAACCCGTCCCAGTGCCTCACCACCCTCTCCGGGAAGAACTTTTTCCTGATGTCTAATCTAAACCTCCCCACTTTCAATTTAAACCCATTACCCCTTGTCCTGTCGCTACAGGTCCTTGTAATCAATAATGATTGGTGGATTTCCTGATAATTCACAAGCAGAAATGGTGACTAAACTAATTAAATAGAGCTGAAGATACATCACCGGCCCCTGGACTGGCACACTGAGGAAAAGACTGTTAGCTATTGGAGTGCCCAGCCACTTCCCTCGCCTTTCTCAACATCTTCCATTTCCCAGTGCTCCTGCCCCATCCAACTTCATTCATAACACAGATTTTCCTTTCCTAGCACTGGCTACAGAAGGCTCTGAGGGGCTGCTTCCTCCCTTGGGACCCAACAACATGAAACCGGGTCACACTCCAGGTAGAGCCTCTGATCTTCAGCCCGGCCAGGTTACCACTGAGCCTCCCCTGGGTAGAGCCTTTCCTGATTTCACATAGCCACACAGGCAGCTGCTGCCAACAGCTTTGCTCGTCCTCACTGGAAACACACCGGTCAGCAACCACTGCCCCCAGAGAGCAGAAAACATAAAAGCACTGTAGTTCTTCAGGAGCTTCATGCCCCTCTGTACATGCCCAATTTAAAACGAAACCAAAAGCTGTGGTATGGATAAGAGTAAGAACTGGAGTGAAGCTAGGCTGGCATCCCAAAGGGACAAAATACGCTTAACGTAAAAGCAGCAAAAGCTTTAGGAACCTACCACGTGCGCTCACCTGTGAGTCACTTTTATGAGGTTGGGGGCCGTATACTCCGCAATGCCCCCCGTGCCACTGTACTCCCCCGGGTCTTTATCTTCCTCCTCCCGAAGAACAGCCCGCTGCAGCTTGTGCCGCTTGGTGATGTTCCTTGGTAAGACAGGTTGGTAGCCATCCTCCAGACCCAGGTTATAAATGGCTCCATCCAGCTCCACAGACACAGAACGGATGGAGCGATTCCGGACGTAGCTTGGTTTGTATTCTGCATGGAAAAGAAATTGGAAGGATAGGAGGGGGAGAAACAGCATGTTACAATTTGGTCTTCTGTGGTTCTTGGGAGAGAAAACCAGCCCTATCTGAAGTTAACTGGATGACAAACAGGGTTTGTTTCAGCTGTCCAGGAGCTGCTGCTACCTTTCGCGTGGGCAGAGGGATACCTTGAGGCATGGGAGGGAGGGCAGGTGTAACACAAACGCACGGGGATGGCAAAGAAAATGGTACTTGTCCAACATCGCTGAGAGCAAACAGCTCATTCCAAGAGACGCTGCTTCTCCCCCAGGAGTCACTAGATGGCAGCAAGACCTTAAAAACGAACCACGGCAGCTGACAGCGAGGCCTCAGGTCACCCTTGCAGCCTGCTTCTCCCCTGTGTTGTCTTGTCTACCGCACAAGGCTCAGGGCTGGGGGCTCCTGCAGCACCTCCCTGAAGGTGTCCCCAGTGCTCAACCTCAGCCTTTTCTCAGTTCTGTGCTCCTCCTTCACGCTAAGATGCTTGATGTTTTCGGGAGGGATGAATAACTCTATCTTCTCCCTTATCCACATCCAATTCTTTTATTTGCAATTATTTTCCCATGCAGAGCAGTCAGTGGGTTCCCACACAAAGCACCACCCTCCAGCCCTACACACTCCCTCGGACTTTACTTCTGCCTCTGCAGCCCAAAGGCAAAACAAAACATTTGCCACCAATTGTCACCACACAGGAAGAGATTCTCATTGGTCTTTTACCGTTACTGCTTTCCTGGACCAAGTACCCAGAGATCCTCTTCTGTCTGATCTGGAATGGCAGGCATACATCCTAGTTACGGAGTCTAAATCCATACCTCAACTTCCCTACCCTACAGCGGGACCCATCTCTGACCGTATTTCCCGCTCACTGCCAGCGAGAGCTGAGTCATTCATTACGCTGAGCACAACCAGCCCGTTCCTCGAGAAAAAGGTACAGCCACGGCATCTCCGCTCCTCCCTGCCCAGCGCCCGAGTCTTTGCTCCGTGTACGAGGCTTGGAGTCATCTAAGACATGACTGGAAACAATCGAGACCCTTGGCTTCCCCAGTCACCCCTCCTTTAGACAGAGCTCACACACCCAGCACCCTCACGAGGAGGGGAGGGCCCTCCACAGTCTGACACGGGGAAACTCAACCTCCTGCCAAACCAGACCGCCAGTCCTTGCAATCCCAAGCTCCTCAGAAATGCAACTTTCTCTATGGGATAATCTCCCCAGCAAAACAAGCAGGGGAAAAAAGGGGAATGGGAGGTAGAACAACCAAAACTGACGGAAGAACAAGTCAACTGGCATGCCTCAGCATTAACACAGGGTGACCTTTTTCAAGAAGCCGTACATTAATTCCAAATGGATTGCAGAGGTGTCAAAGGCCCTTCTGCAGACTGTGGGAAGAGAAGTAAACATCTCCTCCCACCTGAAACGGGTCCAGGCACTACAGTCTTGCAGCACCACACACGGAAAGTAGAATCCCAGCTGGACTGTCTGGCTTTGCTCATTTTCCACCTGTGGTTCAAAGTTTATTGCTGATATTAAGCCAGGTGAGTCACTGCTGAAGGGAAAAGAAAAAAAAACAAAACCCAAGACCAGCCCGATTTCAGGCACCCATTCAGGAAATGGTTGACCAAATGAGAAGGAAACTCCCATCTTTCTTAAAGTAGGAGGAAGTTCCAAAAAGCTACACCCTAACAATTATATTCAAAGTATAAACTCCCATTTAATTGTTCCCTCATTTCATCTTGTTAAGCTCTGCCAACTAACAATTTACCTTCCTCCCAAGTCTAATGTGCCAATCCAGCACCCGGGACCTCAGCGGATAGCTGCAGGGAACTGTCGTCTGCACAACACGTCCCTGGGGAATCAGGAGCCAGGGGTTACTCCTCCCTCGCAGCCAAACTAACCGACCCTTACAGCGGACAAATTGGTCTGGAGTGAGAGAGCTCATAAAGGACTTTGTGTGTGGCTTCACTGCAACGCGCTGTCCGCGGCACTGACTCAGCACCGTGATTAGTACCAAACTCCACTCTTTTCAGAGGATGTGGTGAGGATATTTTCCAAGATCAGTATCCATCTCTGCTGGGCTCTCTCCCCTGCGAAGCGCACCGCAGGCATGCACACCAACGTCTAATTACTTACTAGTCGACCCTCCCCCAGGCCTCGGTTTGGCTCTCCAGTTCGCTTACCTGCGCACGCAGCCCACTGCGCAGACCTAGGGCTGTTAAACAGTTGGCCCCACACACCTATACTCCCTTTTCCAAGTTACTAAGTTTGGCTTTGGCAAGCTCTCTGAGTCCCGGTGCCTCTCTCTCACGGACGCCAGCTGTCTTACGAAGGTACTGCTGGCAAGTTGCATCCTCAGGACTGAGTCTGGAAACGGAGGCCGGAGAACCTTAAGCCCAAGAAAGCTAACTACATCTCGGTGCCCCGCTCTGTGTCTTCTTGGCCCACCTGACAAACACGCTTGTCTTTGCTGGAGCCCGCAAGGAAGTACACAGGTCTGGTCCTGATCTCTCCAGACAGTCGAGAGACTCACACGCACCTGATTTTTTACACCTAGTTTTTGGTAGCATCCCAGGTTTCAACGCTGTCTAGTGAAAGCACGAACTGCAGTATCCAAAACTCCGATTTAACTGAATAAAGCCAGGCAATGTACTGTAACTCCGTAAGCTTCATACCGGACATAAATGCGGCCAGCCGCCGGGTTTGTATTTAACTCTGCTCACACCCTCATCACCCAAACCTTACTGCTTGCTGTGCAGCTGCCAAATCCATGGTTCAACACCGGGATCGTTTGGAAACGGTAGCTCTCTCAGGGATAGCCAAGGAGATTGTAGCCAATAACTACTGTACGGCAACCTCCCCGACGCAGGAGCGTGGCTGCTAGGCAGGAACTCTGACGAAGACAGCGAACTCTCCCTCTTCCCTGCTGACACTCTACCCAAGCATTTTGGGTTGGATGTTTTTTTCCAGCATCACAGCAATGATAGAATAAGCCAATAGACAAGGATCCTGCTTCTACACATGCCATGAGGAAAATATCCACCTCTACCCTCATGAAGTCCTGCGTGACATTTCCCTGAATTCTGTAGAGCAGCAGCATTTTTTTATGTAACAACAAAGTAAAATCAGGCCCTTCGAAGTCAATTTTTTGAAAATATCTCAAGTGTATAGAAATATGGAAAAAGGTTTAGCGGGTTTTTTTCTTGGGCATTAGGTACCTGGGGATTTCTAGAGATCTGATTTTGAGTCTGTGTCCACAGATATTTCAAAGAGGAAAAAACACCGACCCCAAATAAGCTTTCATACATCCACTTTCTCACAACTGCCATCAAAAATTACACTTCAAATGCATTTTTAGAGTAGCTGATGTTCAGGTTGGTGTTTTTTTTTTTAATAACAAAGAAGGTTATTTTGCTCCAGCATTGAGACCACCTCAAAAGAAAAATGAATGACATGAAAATTGGAATGAAAATGCACTAGCCCCTTTGTACACACTTCTGTTTGTTGTTTACAAATCTGTGTGGCCCATCACCATTTCTCTACGCGCAGCTTAATAACTCCTTTAATCACATGCACTTGTTCATCACAGGAGGGGGAGATCAAATCCACAGCAAGAAAAACATAATAGACCACAACACAGCCGAAGATTTTAAGAGCTCTCTATTACTTTCTTCTACTGCAAAGCTTTGTTTCATCTTTCGTATAAAAATAAAAACATACTAAAGAAAATAAAGAGGACACAGAAACGCAAATATTCCTGACACCCAAACCCAACATCAATGCTTATGTGTTTTTAGCATGGAAAAGCGTTGCAGGCGAGTTGTGTATCTGTGCACGGCCCAAATAGCATGTACATGACACGACTCTCTTTTGCAACTGCATTTACTCAATTCAGAAAACATTTCTGTCTACTAAATGCACTGCTGCACCTGACAACGGGTCCAGACCATGCCGTCCTTAGTCATTATTTTATCAAAACATTTGGTGTCCCAGTCCCTCTATCAGCAATTTAGTCTGATTTTTAGACCCCATGTTCTCACCACATGTGACTGGGTTTAATCTTTTAGAAAGACCAATCCTCATACCCCTATCAGGGTTTGCAGGTTGATGCACCCCACACCACGACATCCAATTTAGCTTTCTGCAAATGACCGTAGATTAGAATCTATCAAAATTGCTCTCTGCAAATCCAGCTCTATTGTGCAGGACAGAAGGGAGTGATCAGGGTGTTTCCTTCCTAACTCCACTATTGCTGTGAACTGCAGCATTAACATCCAGTTTGAAAATTCTATTTTCTATTTAGCTATTGTTCGATCTGATGAACAGCATTTAGTGGCATTCAAGCAGGGCTGCAGTATGATCCCGTGCACTCATCAAATTCTGAGCAGCAGACCCCAAAGATGCCCTCAGAACTCTGCAGCCCAACACAAACTGCACTTCATCCCAGTCTTACAGAACAGCTCATAAAACCCCAAATACTCATCATCAGTATTCAGGTCACCCTCTTAACGTTCTCAGCCCGTTCTGGGTAAGCTCTTTAGAAAAGCCTTGCTCTGTTACCTTGACTTGCATCACTTTGTGCTCGTTTGTGTTCAGTGTGTGATTTACTAGGCAAGTGCATTTAAAAGAACTGCCAACACCAAATCAAAGAGTCTAAGCCAATAGGTCCAAGTTGACCTCTTCCACTGTCCGGCACATCCCGGATGTGGGCAGAGGGACAAACAAAACATCTGAGGAGCCAACTCTTTCACTCGAGACACAAGGAATGGGAACATGGTTGTCAAGACCTTATCTCATGCTGAAGTTTATGTCCTATGGTTCAATGAGGCAAGGGAACCGAAGGGTACAGTACAAACTCTGCCTCTTCTGGGCAGAACATAGGGAAAACCCCACCATTCTGGTCCCGCTGCTAGAGGGAGCAACCTTCACTTTTTTACCTCAGCCTCCTCCATAACTGAAGGTAATTATACACTTAACGACCTCCTCAGGATGTTGTGAAAATTAGTTAATGTTTAGGAAGCACAACACAGATGAAAAGTACTTAAGTAAGTGTTAAGTGTTATCAGATAGCACTATGTTGCCCTCACTTAAACTGTTCTCCTCTTCTTATTTAAGTGCCTTCGATCTACTCCTGTTATTTGACTCCCCACGCCTGAACTTTCTTCTGTGAGACTTTAAAAAAAAAGTTAATTGAACTGCAAGTTCTAGTGTTATTTAAAGATTATCTGCTGTGCCACATATTTAAACAGCAAGTATAGTTGAGTAATTTCATCCTGCAACCAATAATTTTTTTCAACTAAAAATTAGCTTAGTAGGTACTAATCAGCTTGCAAGGCAAATATAATGGGAGAAAATCAATTTAAACTCACTGTTTGAAGCTTGTGCCAGGTCATTATACAGAAAGACTAATCTTCTAAATAATTAAGGCTCTGTATTTGTGGAGTGAGACGAAAGAAACATTACAAGTGAATAATAATTCTGTGCTGCCGTTTGCCTCTTTAATCTATAATTAGACTATGTACTTCAAATATAGATGTTAGTCTGACTAAGGTTTAATACAGAGCCAGAGGGACGGGCTTTCTGAAAAAGCACCTGATCTGTGCCAAGGAAACTAGGAACAGAGTCATCCCCTTTGGACGTGCTCTCTGGTTAAAGTCAGCCTTGTCTCTGCTGACTGAGCACAAGGAAAGGATGTTAGAAGCAAGCAGCTTCTGTAACAAAGCACACGCATCCTTATTAAAAATAAATTACTGCGGTAACGGCTCCAAGCATTGCCGTACTTACTGAAAACTGGAGTATTCGCTGCAAACCACTGTTCTTGTTTCATGGGCTATGTAAGGATGTGCCACTTGCCCTTCCATGGGTGTACTGCATTTCCCAGTTTTGAAAGACATAAATATAGGTCCTTATTTTGGATCAAAACTCCTCTTCCTACAGAGACATTTTCAAATCTGATTGTCCAATATGAGGCACACTGTTTCACAGTTAGATACACAGTAAATATGCTGGTAGAATTCAATGCCCATGAAAATCAGGGGGATTATGTGTGCTAGGGAGCAAACTCATAATGGTTTTCAAAGACAGAGACAGAAGATACAGTGGCTTTACTTACTTTTCTTGGAGAAGAGTTTCTTTCTCCGTCCGACGTGGCTCAGCTTGTATTCATTCTCTTCACAATTGCAGTCTTCACTATTCCTGTTGTAATACTTGGGCAAAATATTGGAGGTGCCTTTGCCATTGCCTGCAGCTGCCAAGTTCGCCATTCCCTTGCACTTGTGTAGCTTGAGCTTTCCACTGGCATCTTCCACACACTGCCATTTCTGGAAGAAAAATTTGGTCATTAAACCTCTGTCCCAACTGTGCTTTGTCTAACAGCCAGCTCCAGCAATCTATCCGAGATTCCTCGTTGTAGGAAGCTGGGGCTCATCCATCACCTACTACCAAACCAGAATTTTCACAATTGCCCGTTTTCAGACAAAACGGGAAGTCTTTGGAACACTTGCATTTGTTTCTGATTTTGTTTCTTGGAGGCAGAACAATGGGAAATTCTTAACAAAATCAATATTATGGCTGAAAACATGGAGGTGACAAGTGACAACTTTCAGAAGCCTAATTGTGAACCAAGGCCATTCAAGCCTTATCCATGAGTTTGAAAAGAATCCATGCCTACCAGCAAGTGTGTTTGTCAGGCTGGTAGGAATCTGTGCCACTGTTATGCCATTAAACCAGCCCCAAGCTACAGGCTCGCATATAAATTCAGCCCCATCCCATACTTTACAAGGCTGCAAAAACCCTTTACTATAAGGATCTGGTCTGAGCTGGTTGTCTAGACTCATTCTACAGCTGAAGAAGAGGAACAGTCACTTCCAGGGTACAATCCACTTCATCCTAAGGTGGCCATATAAAAGAGGTGAGAAAAAGGACTGGCCTATAGAAGTGCCCATTCCTTTTTACTGACCTTTCAAAGGGTTGGTATGACTGGATCCACTATGGAAGTCTGTAGTTAGATGAGTTTATTTCCATCCTGAGTGTTTCTCTTAATAGCTTTCCCCACTCAACACCCCTGGGCTTGGCTAGCAATGGCGAGCTGTACTGAATCCCTGTGAAGGGATAATCCCCTCCCTCTTCCACTCAAACCAGAGAGTATCTCACCTCTAATCTCCAGTTCCTTCTCTCACTCAAAACCTGAAGTAACTTGCCTGTAGCTCCCTTTGTGCTGCTGTCAGAGCTGTGCCAAGGGCAAGGGAGTCAGGCACCTTCAATCTGGCACAATTTTACCCACTTCCCAGGTCCATCACAAAATAATTTCACCTACTCCTTTATTTACCAACACACCGCTAGCTACAGAGCTAGGCTTTGAGATACACGAAACCCCCTCACAGTAGCAGTTGCTCCTGCTTTAAACAGTGACTCTCGGAAACACTTCAGCTTTTTGCTGAGTCTTGAGAGGCGTTCCTCTTTTTCCGTGTTACAAAATCCTAAGCCGGTGCCTCCAGGACCCACTGGAATATTGAGAATTTTCCAAATAAAAGAACAGAAAGAAAAACACTAACAGCTCCCAAGTGAAATGACATTTTACAGCATCCTGCAGCTCTACAGGGGAGATTCAGTCGCTCCATTCCCACAGAAAGGTGTGCCCAGGCTCAGACAGCAAAGCCTCCATTTTCCATTGAAATGCACCCCATTGTCTGCATGGCAGCAAAGTCAGAAACCAGCAGCACTGTGCTTTTATAACACAGGATTTAACAGTTACAGTGGAGTTATCTATGACCACGGGAGAACATCTCAGTTAAAATGATCAGAGTTTTATGGTGTGTCTGCTTATTTCCTCAGACAGTTGGATGCCAGGTCTCCTGAGCTGTAATTACTTCTTAGGTGCAGATATTGTGTCCAACCTCCTGTACGATCCAGGAGGATAAACCTGGCTTAACTTTCAGCACAAGGAATCACAGGAAACCCCTAAGAGGCACTGACAGTAAGACATTTGAATCAGACATCGTGTGACTGTGTTCATCTGTAACGCAGGACACATTTACCTAGACGGGGCGTAGGACAACAATAACCTTTGAAGAGTAAATCGCTGAGCCTTTTTTATTGTTTTTTTATAAATGCCTAACTTGACTGATGCACAGACTGAGGTCTGAAGTAATTTTTGCTAGAATAAGCAATGGTTTCTTTCACAATGAAGAAAAGATGTAAAACTGTTTGTTGCTGTTTCCTATTTCAATTCCTCTGAATCTTCTTTTTGAAAATACATGAACAAACTGCATTTTCTTCTCAGTAAAAGCTCAATGCTGGAGGTGTCTGATACATGAAAAATGAAGATTCGGCAGAGGGCAAGTTAAATGCCATGATGAGAACTACTGTAAATAAGTGCTCTGATGTGCGGACCAAAAATATTTTTTCTCTGTTTCTTTCATCTCCTGACAAGAAAGTGATGCTCTTTTTTTCCCCTCCAGGTGAACTGGAAAAAAATCCTTTCATTTTTGGTGCAGTTTAAATCTTTCCAAGGCAGCTGTATGCTACAGTGAAAACATCTGAAAGGCTTTGCTGGAAGGGCACATTGTATGCATTAACAGGCCCACTGCTGAATGACTGCAGTGCACAACTACGTAAAGGACTTCAGAAGCAAACACTGAACACATGCGGGGGGAGGGGAAAAACAACCCTTTGCTTTTTTCCTAAAACAGATATGGGCAAGTGTGTGAATGTGTCTGGGATTCAACAACTTGCCCTTGGTCTGCTTGGAAGTACAAACACAAATCCTGTAGGTCAGTATCACGGCTCTGTCGGTTGCAGGATAAAGCACCCACAGGATGCTTTCAAACTTAGGCAAAAAGGGGAGTAATTGCAAGGGAACTGTGGAAACCCTCTGCTTGACAGTCCAGAAGGTTTAAATATTTTGAATTCTGGCATTTTAAGTTGGTTTCTAGTGCACAGTGTACCATCATGCAGAAACCTGTGTCGAACCCTGGAAGCAACTAAAATATTTTATAAGAGGTAAGCACTTAAATAATTAAACTCCTGCAAGAAGAGTGCCCCTGAGATATTTTGGCTCACAGGTACAAATGATAACCATCCAGCAGCAAAACATAATTACATCTAAATAGGGGGTTAACTCAACCAGTCAGGAAAACAAAGTGCCCTTAGTTCATTTGCCCCTAACTTTTCAGATCTTTTCTTCATTAGACCAAAAAATGTGTTCTTAATTCAAGTTCTATAGCTTCTAATATCTCACAAGAGCTAAGTCCTGAAAAGGAGAGCAGTTTAATGCAAAATGAAAGTCAGTGGAAAACCCAAACTCCCCCACAATCTTCATCCCAGCTCATCTCAACACTCCAAAGGAACTGTCTCTCCTCCTGCAAGGCCTTGCAGAACAACGACTCAAGCCATCAAATAAATGGCTGTTGCAATACATCCTGAAATCCATCAAGCTCAGGTTGTGCAAAACTTTCCAGACACCTCATTTAATCATTCAAGCTGTTCCAGCTGGAGGTTTCCCACCATCTCCAGGCAGGCCAAGATAGCTGCTGTGCTTGTGCTTTCTGCCACCTACTGTGCTGGGCTTGTTCTAACACTCCTGCTCCATCCGCTTCCCTACCTCCCACCGCACAACACATGCTGCTCAGCTGCTTGTGTGCAAAGCAGAAGAGCCTGGGCTTCGGTTTAATGGAGAAATCAGCGGTACTGAACACAAATCTTGTTCAAAGGTACACTGCAAAGGCAAAAGAAGACAGTTTGTAACTTATATTCTCCCCTCCAGCCTAAACTACCTGCTCTATCTATCAACATGAGTAAATCAGGTCTTCAATATCCACGAAACATGAATCTTAACAGCAGCGGTTGTAGACTGAACAGATGCCCTGTTTCTCTCCAGTAGCACTGTTCACCTTGAACATGCAAATAACCCCTTAGCAGAAAAAGACATGTTCTGTTTTCCTGTGTGTCAAAAACCCATTATTTCCTCCGCAGCCCCCATCACCACAAAGTGGTTTTTGCATTATTGTGCATCAATGTCTTCTTACCACTACTGCAATCACAGATGTTAATTCAAAGTCATTACTTGAGGCCCCAATCAGAAATAAATACCCATGACCTTCCCTGTAGGATTTTTTCCTACATTTCACTCCTTTCCCTCTGTGAATCTCTCCCAATTCACCTTGTTTTCTTTGGGGGAAAAAGGGCTGATCACACAAGCCTTCCTAACAAAAGACTCCAGTTGAAACACACAGCTTTCAGAGCTGAGACCTAAATCATCATGCTGCGTCTCATCAGCTCCTCTTTTTGTTACGCGAAAGAGAATTTCATTCCCTTTCACAGAGCCGTGGAAAGTGAAACTGTCTGATCAGTTAGCTGCCAGCAAGGCTCCCGCCCTAACAGTTTTCAGAATATAGGCTCTAGGAATCAAAGTTTCTGCAGGATAATAAAGTTCTCGGTCCCTGCCAGCAACCCGACAAAAACACTTCAGCAATATCCATCATCTTTAGTTTATGTGGGTGCCTTCTGCATCCTGTCCTTGCTGCCCCACTGGATGGTGAGCTAGAGACAAACTGCTTTAATGTCTAGAAATAGTCTAACTTCCAGCCTAAACTCATTCATGGGTAGTCAGAATACATTTTTTCTTGTAGCAAACAGCACAGTTACAGTTTGGTTAGCTCTTTTTCTTTGCTTTGCTCCTTGTGTTATTGTGTGGCTAATGAGGACAAAACAGGAACATAGAGAAACACAAGCCCCTTCTCTGCAAAAAGTAGTTCTGCTTTTGCTGGCAGCTTGTCCTGCTGCTGGGATGTTACAAGCTTCAGGCAACAGCCCCTGAATGCCCCACTGCCTGTCTCACACACATTCTACTTCTCTGTTCTCGTTGACTGAAAATAATTGGCGCGTGTCTTCTGCATAGCATCTCTTAGATTCATGCAGACAGATTCCTCTCTCCACTACTCTTTGGGCTGAATATGCCCAGTTCCTTCTCTCTTCCCCACAGGTATTATTTTCTTAATCTTTTAACAGTTTTGTTGGTTTTGGTTCTCCCATCCATACCTTCTTCCAATTTATCCACTGGCAAAGGGTGAGTCTAGTTTCCTCTGTTTCATGTCATCAGTATATAAATGGCACTGCCTAGTCTTCATTCCAGCTAGACATTATTTCATTACAGTGGCTCATGATTTTTGGACATTCAGACCCTCTGGGCTCTCAGCTCAATTTCAGTTGTCAAACACTACATATCACTCAAACCTTAAAATTACGAGGTGGAGGAACAATTTATGACAGAAAATTTGGAGAGCTTTTTAATGCCCCAAACTGTAGCTGAAGTGAGACAGGT